AATTATGATTTGTAACAATATGTATATATGCTAGTAATATTGATTTGATCAACATATCTCAATGTTGAACCCCCAAAATATGTATAATCAAATTTGATTCAATAAAAAAAAATCAAATAAAAGCTATTCTTGGGCCGGCCCGGTGGCGCACTCGGTAGAATGCGGTGCTTGGGAGTGTGGCGGCGCTCCCGCCGAGGGTTCGGATCCCATATAGAGACCGGTCCGCTCACTAGTTGAGTGCGGTGCGGGCACGACACCGAGGGCTGCGATCCTGTTACCGGTCACGAAAAAAGACAAAAAGGAAAAAAAATAAAAATAAAAATAAAAAAGCTATTCTTGATGAGAATTCAACAAGATAGCTGGAATCAATAGCTTTCCTGTATACAACTAGTTGGGAAGTATAATGAAAGAAAAAATCTCATTTACAACATCCGAGAGATAAACCTTTAAAGATGTGCAGGACCTAAATGATAGAAATTTGAAGTCACTGAAACACAAGAGACCATCTGAACACATGAAAAAATACATACCCATGGTTTTGAATAGAAGGAAGTCTCTGTATCATTAAGTCTCTGTATCATAATCATTATCCTTATTTCAACTTGTTTAACTTGATCTCAGTAGAAGTTCCAATTTTCCCCCAAGAACCAGACAAGCTAACTTTAAAGATCATATTGGAAAGCGTGTAAAAATAATCCAGGAAAATTCTGAAAGAGTGATGGGAGATGTTGCTCTTAACAGTTATGAAGACATAAATAACCAGGTATAGTGGTTAAAAACTGCACAGGGTACATAAAAATCAGATCCTGTAACAGAAATAAGATCAAATTCATGTAGAAACTTAGCACTAATACAGGTGGCATTTCAAGTGATGGGGAATAGACTAAACTGATGTCCAGGTGAATCAAAGAACTCTTCAAACACAAAAAGGAACAGTGTTAAAAGATGAATAAATATACATAAGTTACAAAATTTTACTTGGCAAAAATGCCAATAACATGGTAAAAATTGGGCCGACCCGGTGGCGCACTGGATAGTGCGCCGCTTGGGAAGCGCGGCGGCGCTCCCG